TATATATTTTCCTATGCCACGTCGTTGCTTAGACAGTTCGTCCTTTAGTGTCTTTGTTAGCCGCAAAAGAAACAGTTTTCTTCGCCTTCAACTTATACTGCCTTACTTCCTTTAACTTTTTGGATACCCAGGTTTTGTGCTAGCCTAGTCCTATTATCATCATTCTTCTTTCCTTTGCCTATCCACTTGGGCCTAGAAGAAGATGGTATAGACTAGGTTAGATTGATAGGAACAACCATACTTTTGATTATCCCTTCATATGTTACCAATTTTATAAGAATATCAGTGAGTGTGAACTCAAACTGGTTCCTTATTTAATTCACTCTAAAAGAGTCGAACAAGTTTGGTAACAAGGCAATAATTATGTTAACTTGAAACTTACCACCCAAGTCAGCCCTAGTGACCTCTAGTTCAATTTTTAAATAATAAATAATCATTTTAAAAACACGATCTTTTATTGGAGTTCCTTAGGCTATCTCAATGGTATTCAAGTCTGACACAGTACTAAGGCATACACTCTATCTAATCTCAGCAAAACATCTCATTAACATTTAACATGATGCTTGAAAAAAATAAAACAATGTAAATGTTAGCTTTGGAGCGTATTCAAGATAAACTCTAGATTGTTGCACCGAGCCATATCATTTACCTTATTTCACTTATTAAATGCATTAATGTTCTCTTGGGTATCTTAAAGTAAAAGGGAATTAGGTATAGGAGTAGTAAATACATTTTGTACCCTTACGTTGTGAGTAAAATATCTAAATTCTTTTTCCAGTCCGTATTAAAAGAGATCTAATTGCATTGAATATGTTAGCAAGCAGATTAAATGGATTAGATATAATTAATCTGAATATAAATGCATTCATACAATGTGTAAGGTGAATTATTAATACTATCATGCATATTTAAAATTAAAATGAGTTTGTCAATCACATAGTATAATAAATCTCAATAGAATAAGAGTTCATTATCAGTATTGGTGAACAATCCCTTTTAATTAATGTGGGTCCCTCAACTTCGTAGCATAATAAATCATATAATCAATACGTCAATAACTTATCCTGATAGAGGAGTTCATTATTATTATTGTTGAGATTCATTTGCTATTAGGCAAGCACTTCCATTAAAATAATAATATGTGAGTCCCTTAACCACTTTACATGAAAAATCGGATAACCAATACGCCAATAACTTATTCGGTTGGCAAAGTTCATTATTATTATTGGCGGGCAAATCACATCATTTCCATATCTCTTAAGACAATGCCTTGTCTATATAAATGAAATGATTCCCGATTATATTTAGCCTTTCTAAAATCACATAGTGTAAACCACTCCGTTTGGGAGCTAACACTATTGATTTTAGATTGAGTGTATAACGTTATTAATGCTCCAACGAAAAATAAAACATTAAATATCTTATCATTATAATCTAGACTCTTTAAATCATACGTGGGGCCTTATTTTTAAAGATCTAATTACAATGAACATTTAATATTTTTATTTTCATGAGACAACCATTCTTGTAATTTTTAAACTCTTCAAATTATGCGTGGGGCCTTATTTTTGAAGATTTAATTATAATAGTTATAATAACGAATGCTATGAGATAATGTATAAAAATCCCCGCTCCCATTCAATTTTTAATTATTGATAATTAGGTTTTTTCATTTATTCAAATATATGATATGATGCATGCAAAACGCCTTGATTTTCATCCAATTAAATTTAGAAAATATTTGGACTTTAAGTGATTCACTAATATTTAATTTGAGGCACACTTTTAAAAAATAAAATAATTTTTCAAAAATAAATTTCCATTTCCCTCTTTAAGTGCCCTCTAATCAATTAACAATCAAATCCAATTAATTTTCATAATTTAATTAATATAAATCAAGTCATTTAAATAAATATTATGGATACAATGCATGAACATTAATAATTAGGAATTATATATTCCATGCATTTCATACATCACATAAATAAATAAATGACAGATAAAGCAAATAAAATGGCCAATGGATTTAGCTTTTAACATTTAAAAACTAAATAACTATTGCATGACAGCCCATTATATGCTTGTGCACACTTTTAGGACGCTGGAACCCGGACCCACGCGCCACCGCACACCCTTACGCACTTGGAAAGGAAAAACTGTGCATGGGACGCGCCCGGAGAGTGAACAGCACCTCCCCATACGCTGGCACGCGCTAGGGGAGTGTGCAGGGAATCCCCACGCATTGCCCCACGCTGGGGAGGTCAGCAACAAAGGCCCACGTGCTGGCACACGCTAGGGTTGTGTGCAGGAGCGTGGCACGTGCCAGGCAAGCATATCAAAGTTTGGTGCGTGCTCCTCATGAGCCAGTTGTTTGGCTGAGCTTGGAGCGCCCTATAGGTGCGCCCACACCGAATCTTCTCCAGCCACCATCCTTGATCCAATGGCCACCGATCCGAGCGCACTGCATACTGGTGTACAGTGCCGCGCTGGATCGGTTGGCCAAACTCCTGCGCCGCTCTCGCCGCCGCGGTGCTCCTGCCACCGGAAAATCGCCGAAAATTCCAGAAAATTAATTAAAAATTTTCAGAAATTAAATTAGGCCCTTAAAAAATCCAGAAAAATTTTAAAAAATTCCTGAAACCTAATTTAACCCTCTTGGACCTTCTTGAAGCTTCATAGCATCCTTTAATGAAGATTACATAGCTTTAAAAAATATTTACACTTGAAATACAATGAAAAAAATTAAATTACATTATTGAACTTTCAAATGGCTTAATCAAAGCCTTGATTACATTCATTCACAAAGATAAAAGTACATTCAATTAACGTATAAACTTCATTCATGGCCCAAACATATATCAACATCATCCAATCACAAATTTACATACATCATGATCATAAAATAATATAAACATATGCATATAAAAATTTGATTCATGAAAAACTTCTGTTTCCCCAACATTAAGTGGGAAACTGATGCAAAGGCTTGTGATCTAAAATTTTATTACAATTGTATATTAAGTTGAGAAGTATAGGCCGGAGAGAAGAGAAGGGGTTGAGAGGGAGAAAAAAAATATATATATGTGAGAAGAAAAGAGAGAGAAAGGAGGAAAAGAAAAGAAGAATTATTGATGGGCTGTTATAACAAAAGTAGTAGAGTGAAGTTTATACTTTTCTTTTTATTATTTTATATTGGATATTCATTTTGTAAACTCTGTAGAGATAACCTGGTTAATTGGTTATGTATAATTAGCACTTATACTTATTTATTTTACTCAGTTCAAGTATTAATGTAAGTGTTAGATAATTAGAATTGTTGGGTTGAATTTTGATATAAATATTTGTGTGTAATCTTCACGTTGTAATGGTGTATGGAGATTGAGGTTTATTAGTAGGGTGATGTTTAGTATTTATTTCTCTTTAGAAATGAATATGACATGATTATAATGTTGTTCAGGCAAAGATAAGTAGACGGAAGTTAGACAATACGGAAGGACACATAATTAATTTGAAAAGTAGTCAGGGTAAGTGTACTCACTGTAAGTTTTACACTTGAATGGGTTAATTGAAGTATTGAAGATATTTATGTGAAATGAAGGTGCTTATATAACTTGACTATATTACATAATGTACATACTCTGGCCTGGAAGGGGAGTAATATATATATATATATATATATATATATATATATAGAAGGTCCATACTTTGACCTAGAAGGAAAGTATTATATCATATAAGGTCCATACTCTGGCCTAGAAGAAGAGCACTATAACTTAATGCCTATAAAGCTAGAAATTATATACTAATGAAGTTTAATTGAATTTATCATATAATATTTGTTTATATTATTCTGATGTAGTAGTGTTGCATTCACTGGACTTAAAGCTCACTCCTTCCACATATATGCTTTTCAGATACAAGATTTGGTCGCCACTGCCATGTCTAGGGTATTGGGTGTGAATAGGGCAAAGAACAACACGAAGTTTTTTATATAAGATGTAATTATTGTAGTAGAATTTGGTAGTATAACTTGTAATTAATGGTTTAGATTTGTCGGAACTTGCATAATGGGCTTATAGTTTGTTTTTAATTGTAAATTATTAAATATATAATTAAAAACACCAAATATATAAGATTAACGCAGATGGTTAGATGCATTTCAATTATTCAATTTATTAATTAATGTAAATTGGGTTAGAGTATGTTTTTTCCTATTGAAAAGATTTTCTTTATAAATACACCGAGTACTTATAAATGTGTATAAGCTCTCTAACTTTGGACCGGCTGGTTGAGCCGGCGCGCGAGTGTATACAAAGTGTCCTCACCATACATTCATTTATCTGACCCAAAACCAAGATCATTTAAGCATGTCTTCAAATTGATTAATTAACACTATGCTTTCAAACACTTTCAAACAAAGAATCAAATTAACAAAAATTACAACTCGATATAACCAACTTTTGATTACAAAATTTGCCATACAATTAAATTTGCAAAACATCTAAGATTAAATTTATAAATCTTTCATCATCATAGATGTAAGCCTGTTTATATTTTCTACATTGGAGATTGGGATTCTTGTGTGGGTGAGCATACGAGTTTGAGCTGAGCCGAGGTCAAGTTTGACAGATTATTGCAAAGCTCCAAGCTTGGCCCACCCAAGCTTTTCCGAATATGAGCTGAGCTCAAACATTCCCTAAGCTGATCTCCAACATGTCAAAACTCCGACTATGTTCATTGCCAGCCCTACTCTTTTGTTTGGATAATTAGGGATATTGCTATCAAAATATGACATGGTTCTTTCAAATGGCATGTGGACCTTGATCCAGTTGACAATTGTAGAAGGCAAGTTTTCACTTTAATTTATTTTTAATTTTCTCAACGGGAAATAATTATCAAATTTGGGAAATGAGATTTTAAACAAGAAAAATAAATTTGTTGATTGTTAGGAATGTAAAGAAGGCAACTAATAATACAAGAATTACCAGTAGAACAATTGCTACTAGAATGGCCAATCATAATTTCAATATTAAATGCTGTACATATTTAGTTTTTCCAAAATCCAAACTTAAAACCATATAAGTTTTTCAGTTCTTTGGATTTTAAAAGCTCAAATTGCTCACAAGCCTTAACTCTAGGAATTCTCAAGACACAGGCTCTCAGAGTGGCCTTTCTTATAAATCCATTGCTATTAGCAAAGCTCATGAAATTGCAATATAAGCAGAAACATGAGATATGATTAACTTCTTGGGGAAAATCAGAAGTGAGACTAAAATTTTAAGGCAAAGAGAGAAATTGTTTCATTGAAGACCATAAACTAGCAATGCTCCAACTGCACCGACACCAGCCACAAGCCCGATGATGACCCCAATCGGAGGCAGCCCCCCACCAATCGCCTTTCCACTGTTAACATCATACCGTGCAAACCTCTTCTTTGGGGCTCTGCACTGAGGACACGTATAGTCATCCGGCTGCAAAGCAACGAACACACAAAAAGATCAAAATCCTTTCCAAATTATGACGTAAAGGAAGAAATTGCTACATATGGAGCTTGCATTGATCAACTAGCAACACACATATCGGATCACAAGCAGTGGTTTTAAGTTCCTCCACAGCCTGCGACTTCAAACTTCTGTCTTTCATTTGTGCTTGTGAGTGTGTGTATTAGGTTCCAAACCTCCAGTTAGTGTGAGTATAAACGATGTTGTCATCAATGTAATCCCTCCTTTTTGTGCTACTACTACTCCTAGGGTGGGAAGAAGATAACAAAATGAGAAGCATTCTCATGATTTCCCAACCTGTTGCACTTAAGACAGCCCTCTCTTGGCTTGGATGTTGGTCACTTGCTCTAGAATACCAGATGTAATGACATCCTTCTTCTTCTTCTTCTTTCTTTCTTTATTTTTTTTTCCTACACTTCGTTTGAAAGGGAATAATGAAAAACAGAGAAGAAGACAGAGAAAATGATTCACTGGCTTTTGACTATCCATTTTTGAGAGCAAAGCTAGGCTATTTGGTGAGAGAGAGCGTGGGGAGGTGAGGTTTTTGATAGATTGAATGTGCTTGTGATATATATTGAGAAAGTTCAAATAATAATACAACATGAATATCATCAAGAAGAAATGCAATTGAGAAGTTAACTTGCCTGTTCATCAAAAGATTTCGGTAAGGTGTATATGAATCCACAATCAATGCATATGTGTGTCGCTCTGGCCTAAAAAAAATAAAAAAAATGAAAACCATTCAAATTTGGATAGAGAAATTAAAATAAGACTCATTTCAAACACATATAAGGAAAGGCAAGAAAATTGAAAGGAAAAGCTTGTGATGACACTATAGGGCTTGCCTTTTGAGCTTCAGTCAACTTTCTCCCAAAGCGAGGAGGTGCTGGACGCTTTGGTAGTCTTTTAACGTCTACCTCAACACCTCTGTATCAAAAGATCTAATGTTAGGCTAGAGTCTTCTTCAACAAAGGAATCAAGACATTTGGAGATGCTTAGTTATTAAATTCAGGATTGTGTTGAAACTTTAAAAAGTAGAAAAAAATTGAAAAGATGACTGGTATTCATAAAAACTACAAACGACTATGGCACTACGACAACAATGTAACCAGATGGTATATTATTGACAACGTTGGAGGAAAATCTATTCATCAATCATATATATTTTTTTATATCTGAATATAGCTTTCATTTTTTTTTTTGAGTATATTATCTTAATCTGGCTTCACGAACCCATATTTGGTATTCAATAAAATGATGCCTAATAGACCATCCACATGCGTGATTGCTAAGCCCCTATATCAGATTAGTGAAACGGCATAATCATCTGAGGAGAAATTTGTTCAATTGTACCACTGGCTAGTGTGGTCTTGTACATGGTTTGTGCATGTATGATGTGATAAAATTATAGCCATAGGTGATTATATCATTGTGGCAGAATCTGAACTGCAATTGCCAATCCCTCATCGAGTGATAAAAGGTATCAAATTTATGATACGAGTTGACCCATTGATTTCTTGTCGACCCTGCCATTGATGGTAGGATTAGATTTTTGTTTATTTGGAACACATTAAAAATATCAGTAGAGTTCAATTTCATTATCAAAGTGGAACTTCGAGCTCATAATAAGAGATGCAGCAACAAGAGAAGGAATAGATACAGAAAAATAGTCTCATATAGGTCATTCCTATGTAAATTTTAACAGTCTCAAAAATTATTAACCCAATTCCTATCAATTATGGATGATCCCAGGAACCCATCTTGTCCCAAAAATGGAATACAACTTACATAAGTTTAGGTATCATAATTGATTTACTATTTTGTTGATGTCGGATTACAATTATTTCAAATCTTCAAGATAAACTAAGCTAGTCACAATTCACCTGAAGGATGCAATTAATTACTCACAGAAACACCTCTTGATAACTTTCTAAAGAAAGGGTCTCCTGCAGGTCTTAAAATTGAATCCATCTAGCTACCAAAAAGAGAGAAGAATTGGATTCATCCCTTTGCCCCAAGTTAATTGAAAGAAAGATAAAGCACATGGGAGGTTTGGGACTCAAAATGGCTATCCAGAACAGATGGTAGTTCTCAACTACCAACATAAACATAACAAAGCCTCAATTTGTGCCTCAATTGCGGTTAATTTGAGCTACAAATATTGTGCAATTAATATAAAAAAAATTAAATCAAATCAAAGGGTAAGAAATAAAGAGAAGCAAAGAGAACCTGCTGACAACGAAGTAGACAGAGTCTGGCTTTGCTTGGATTGCAGTTTTTGTAAATCCAAGCTTATCAGCAGGCCAAAGCTCATCCCCAAAGAAACTGCTAGTATAGAGTACCTGGTCCCCAGCCTTGAGCCCTGATTTGGCAGCATTCCCACCACCTTCTACAGCCTAATTCCACAACACCCAGGTCCAAGAAAATCCTTAATTCAGAGACAACCAAAAAAACCTATATTCCATTTTCTCACTCAAATCAATGGTGTTCAATCTAAAATGAAGACCTATAAATGTATTTGTTTGTGTGTGTATATAAGAAAGACTTACAGTGATGACTACTCCACCACCTGACTTTTGTCCCAAAGTCAGGCCCAATGGCTTGTCCACTTCAACCTCGATGTTCTTGGACGCCTTAGCAGTTCTTGCTGTGATCTCAAGACCTCTTCTTATAATGTTCAAACTGATATTCTTATCAGCTGTGAAAGAATTTGAGACACCCCTTTTCCAATCATGAAGAGAGAGGCCTTGGAATGTGCTTTTCTGCCCAGAGAGAGAGAGAGAGAGAGCAACGATGACAATTGTTTGGAAATGGGTTCTAAAATGAAACCAAATCAAGTAGGGATTTGGTAAGTAGAGATAAAATACCTGGCACTGAGGAGTAAAAGGGTTGATAGAATGGTTCTTCCTCGTGAAAGCAGCAGAGTAAGAAGAGGAGGCACCTGCTGCAACCACAGCCGACGACATGTTTGAGATAGTGTGTGTGAGAAAGTGTGGGTTTGTGTGTGTCAGGGCATGCAGTCACAGTGTTGGTTGATATCTGTGGATAGGAGTTCATCGCCAGATAAGCTTCCAGTGGCAGAGAGGATGAAAGGAGGGGAGAGCCACACGCCTGATTGGATTTAGGGTCAGTCATTTTGTTAGTATACCCACCACAAAACAAATAAAAATCAACCAACAGCAAATGCTATTTTATACCGAGTGATTTTTAATAGGTGGACTTTTGGGGCCTTTTACATTCTTGTGGAGGGAAAATTCTTTCCCATAACTGATCGAGCCAATGTATAAGCAAGGGCCCAACAAGTTTGCGACAAGTGTGCAGACCCAATGGGCAAGTAACAAGGCTTGAGGATAGGCCCATCCTGGATGGTGGACTGGTCTAACTGGTTTGTTGTTAGGAATTTAGTAATTCTGATATTGTAATTGGCTAATTTCGTTGTACGGAACTCACTCTTGTAAATTAATGATTATATGATTAGTGAGTAAGATAAAAATAGATTAGGTAAATGATTTAAGTATGAAAATTAAGATTGCTTGGAAGAAGCAAAACTCACTCTTGTAAATTAATGATTATATGATTAGTGAATGAGACAGAAATAGATTAGGTAAATGATTTAAGTGTGAAGATTAAGATTGCTTGGAAGAAGCTACATCAAAAGGGTGATAAGGTCCAAGATTTCGAACGAATGGCAAATTAGTCAAAGAACTACTACAAAGGCAGTCAAAGTTCTTTTTTAAAGGGCAAAATAAGTCCAAGAACTTCATACAAGGACAACATGGTCCAAAATTTTACCTCAAAAGACAAAATAGTCCAAGAACCAATGCAAAGGCAAAAATGTCCAGAGTTCTACTACAATTTAGTCCAAGAACCATTGCAAGTGCAAAACCATCTTGAGTTCTACAAAGAGGGGCATAATAGTTCAAAGATCAACTTCAATGGTAAAGATGTAAATTCTCTAAGTTCAGTTATGATCCTCATCACCCCAATGTCATTCCCCCACTGGGATTGACATTCACCCTCCAAATCTCAACCACCATCCACCACCAAATGACTAAAAATGCATGCATGTACCTCTTTTTATTTATTTATTATTATTACACAATCATAAGAATGAAAATGGAATTTAGCACAGAGTATAGGTAATTGTACATGGTACGAGTGTCTTGGGGTACTAATACCTTCCCTAAGCATAAAGAAACCCCCGAATCTAATCTTTGGTAGAGCAGATCACGAGTCATCTAGGCCCCCAAATTCAAACCAAATTCTTCCCAACCATTGGTGACCTGACACACCAGAACTCGATGTTAGGTGGTGACTCCTTCAAAATCTCTGAATTTAGCCCTATTAAGAATCAGTCCTAAATCACATCCCTGTTGCACATAAATGCCGGCACACGACGGCTGAGACCTTCGGACCCCGGGGGGATACTGTAATACCCATAATTTTAAAAAGGATAGTTCTGGTATTTTGGTTAATTATTTAATTGTATTTTTAATAATTTAAATTGTGACTTGTCTTAATTATGGCGTTTTAATTTATTTAATTTTTTTAGTTAATTGTATTTTTGTATTTGAATTCTTTTAAATGTTTAATTGGTTTTTAAGGTTTAGTTAACTGTTTATTTGTGCATTAAATTTTCATTACGTGACTCATTGTTTCAATTGAACTTAAATGTTTTAATTATTTTAACGTGGTTCTGTTTTATTGTTGCACTCATATAGTTACATTAGGTTTACAATTTACATAAGTAGCCGGCGATGATTAAAACCTAGGTTTATATTCTATGGGCCGGGTAAATCAGTTAGGGTTTAATGGAACCTAGGATTGGTGACCTATAAATATACCAGTAATGCTCTACCTAGGGTTTAAGATTGTATTCACGATATAGTAAAGGCAGAAGTAATTTTGGAGAAGTCTGGGAAGCAACAGAGAGGGAAGAAACAGAGAGTTCACCGGGGAATTTAGAACGACGTCGGTGTAAGCAAGTTCTAATCCTAACTCTTTTCCTTAGGCTCGTGTTCTTTGCATCACTAATACAACTCCAGGAATCTATAAAGATTAAAAGTAAATTGGTTTGCATGTCTCTGTTATTTTGTTTAAATTGAACGTAGCGTGGGTTGCACTGTTTGTTTGTTATCTTTTGTATGTGACTCGTAAATTAATTCACATAACTAGATGCTTAATTCATGTAAACTGTTATATTAAGAGTTAAATTAGTTTTTAACACTCAGAGAAACATTAATAATACTCTAGTTCACATGGTTGAGTTACTCAGAACAGTGTGTGTTCTTGAAGGGTAAACTGTAACACCCCCACATTTTCCACGCATAAGTTGATCAGGCTTATACATGAAAAACGAGGGATATCAAAAACAATTGGCAATATACAAGCATGGAATACAAAATGATGATAATAAAAGAATTTAGACAGGAAATGAACACTAAATAATACAACATCCATCCATCCTTTATTTAATACAGTACTCCATTACAACTTGGAAATCCTATGTCAAGGATCCCTAAATATAACCCTGAGAGTTCAACGTCAAAAGTAAATAAAAACTGAAACTGAAGTAATACATAAAACTTCTACCCTGAACTGGATCGTAAGAGTAGATGAGTTCGGATGGTGGTCCCTCACTGCTAACCTCAACCTTGGAACGGGTACTGACCGTATCCTGAAATAACAACAATGGTGGGTCAACCCCACGAGCAAGTCCTCTCTACTATGACCCAAATCAGAGAATCAAATAAATTAATCATTATGAATCGGATGAGTACTATATCTGTATACATCCTAAGGGAACTATCCAATGTATAACATGACCTCAACCAGAATAGACGGTGATCACTTAGACTCACACTAGGTGGTTAAGTGTCGCCTTTCCCTACCCGGGAAATCAGCTATTATACATGGTGCACGGTACTGACAACACAGACTATAACGAACTACACAGTGATAACACATCTCAAAGTACTGATGAATATACTGAGCATATAAATTAGGCAACACATGCCAATAATATAACTAAATATACTGAGCATGTCAATTAGGCAACACATGCCAATAATATTAAACCACATACCCCGACAGCCACACATCTGTCTATAGCAACAAATGCATAAGGTATAAATGAGTCTAAACTTATTAGCCAGCTCATATGGTTCTATATGGCAACACATCCATATAATATAAATGCGACATAATTAAACAGTCCATTTATTTCCTGAAATGCACACAGCATAATAATCATGGTTTATATATCATTTAACAGTATAAACATCCCATAAGATATCATGGATAATTTATCTGACTAAAACCATGGCATTATTTAATTTAACAGTAATGTTTGATACCATTTAATAAGATAATAACACTATTTATATTTAACAATGTCGTTAAATAAATCACATTAGTATCCGTACTGTGAACGAGCCAATAAATGCTTAGAAAAGATTAATCGGCCATAAGAATAAGTAACGGGTATTAAAATAATAATTTCGTGACCCGTTAAACCCGTAAATACCAACACAGTACCTAAAAATCCAAGTTTAAGGTTCTGGAATTTACAAAACAGGCCCTAGGGGTATTCTGGTAATTTCCAGCAGCTGTAGAGACCCCACACGCGCCCTCACGCGCCTCCCAGAGCCTCCCCACACGCAGCCCAACCTTCCCCACTCTCCCACGCGCCTCCACGCGCGTCTGGCATCAGCCACGCGCGCGCACGCGCTCCCACGCGCGCACTAATGCATCCTGATGACGTGGCTCGTCCTAATTCGTTGGCTGCATCATCCTACTATGGGCGCGCTACACTGAATCATCTCACCCTCTCATCACTCAATCCTATGATCATAGATCCGGGTGTACCGCGGTAACATGGACCGCGATGCACCGGATCAATCAGCTTCATCTAAGGCACAGGATGCGCGCGCACACCCTCCTATGGTGCGCCGCATCACACCGGATCACTCCGGTCATCTCCCCCATTGCCGGCGACCGGAAAACTCGCCGGAGGGTCGCCGGAAAATACAGAAAAATTCTGAAAATTGCCCAAAAATTCTAGAAAAAATTCTAAAGCCTTAAATAACAATTTCCTAAGTTTCAAATAATTACCTAGGCTAATAATAAATTATTTAACCCTTAAATAATTAATATCTCATTATTTTAATAAATCAAATAATTAATTTCTCATTGTCCTAGCATGGTTTCTAACCTCAAAAAAATCGCCGAATAAATGTAATGAATAATTTATGGACTCAAAGGGGAAAAGTAAATAATAACTTGCCTTTTTGGATTTAAAATAAATCCGCCGGTTGCGCGTAATCGGGTAAATTCCCTACACCGGTCCAGGCTCCTTTCTTTCTCTCTTTTCCTTTCGGTCTTATACAAGAACTCACTTTTATTATTTCCTTCTTCAACTTATGTGAATCCTCAACTAAAGGGTTAACTTCTATATATAAATAACTTATATAATTTAAATATTACAAATATCTATTTTTGCATTTCATTAACCACATTCCCAACCATAAGGCTTTAAAGCTAGCAAGACAAGTCAAGCAAGATGTCCTAAGGTAAATCCTATCCTAAGATTTAATTTCTTCATCATTACATTGATTTAATACTATTATTATTTATTATAAATATTATTATTATTTTTATTATTAATAAACTATTATAATTATTATTATTATAAATATTATTATTATTATTATTAAATACAAATTAAATACTTTAATTAAATAATATTAATTAATCTAAAACATAACCAATAAAATGTCTAAACTAATCATTCTAATATATAGAACAAAAAAATCAATATTACATGCACAAATAAATAAAATTAATTAAATAATTTAACATATATAATTAAAAGGTGAATAAATCTACACATTAAAGAATTAACCTAACACAAAATTAATTTAAATAAACTCTTTAAAATTACGGGGTATTACATTCTCCCCCCCTAATAAAGGAATTTCGTCCCCGAAATTCACTACATACCTGTATTAAAAAGCTCTGGATACTTGGCACGGATAATATCTTCCCGTTCCCAAGTAGACTCTGTAGCACTATGATGACTCCACTGTACACGTACTAATGGAATA